ATTGGGGTAACTAGTGAAAAGGGGAGGGTAGATATATGATTCTGTAGGGTAAACTAGGTAGAAACCATGCTTTAGGTTTTATATTATGATGAGTTGCTGTAGGAATCATGTATTAGGTTTGTATAACGCATTAGATATCATGCTTTAGGATTGCTGTGCTTAATCGCATTAAATCATGCAAAATTCGTGCATTAGATATCTTGGCTTAGGACAATCATATTTACTGCTTCTGCATATCACATGTTATAGTTCATCATTTCACTTCTGATTCTGCATAAGTCGATATCACTTAGAAATCCTGCCATTAGGTTAATAATACTATTTTAAATAAAATAACCTTCTCCATGTGCATTAGAGATCCTGTTTTAGAACTGCATGTATATCTGCTTTGAAACATGCCGCTAAAATAAGTAGGCTAAAACAGCCCCACACATAGGTACCATGTTCTGGTATGAATCGGTATAAAATCACCTGCTATATATTCATCACTTAGATCACCATGCCTATAGGATGAAAGAACATCAAATTGTTTAGGTGATTCCCAGATTATGACTACATATACAGGCCTAGGCAAGCCTTAGGCCGTTAGATAACTGTGAAATCAGGTTCAGTTTATGTGTGAAATTGTCCAGGCTTAATAGGCTATGAAACCAGTAGGCAAATTGGTTAGGATCTGCCACTTCCCTTAGAACAAACGTTGCATGTTCTGTTCTGTAATGTTCATCTAGATATCATGTTCCTAGGTTTTCTGAATTTCTTTAAAAATTAGTTGTTTGAGACGTGCTGCTTATTTGCCTATGTATATGTGGAGGTAAATATGAGCCTTTTATCTACTTCCTTAATTGACAGTTCTATGTGTTATTTGTTTTCGCCTAGACTTTTGCCTTTTAAACACCTTAGGATTGTCTAGAACTACCTAAGTCTAGAGGTCCTAAACTCCTCCGGGACCACAAGGAAGGGGCGGGTAAAGCACGCTTAGAGTTCGTTAATTAAACTAGCTTATAACCACTAAGGGGAGGGTAATGGGTAGTAAAAGGATATGATGACCTGCGCGCTAATGTCACGTGTAGCCCCTCTAGTTGAGGAGGATTACCGGGCATTGCACGGATTGATCCTATTGGCTAATCAACTTAGGACTTCCCTTTCCCAATTTATATGTGTTTAAACTGTCTAAACTGTTTTTTCTTTACATATATGTGTTTAAACTGTCTAAACCTCTTTTACTTTCATATATGTACATTGACCATCTAAACCTCCTTGACCATATATGTATTTAGACTGTGTAAACTACCTTTATTTACAAATATGTGTTGATACTTCTTACTTGTTAATTGGCTAATCCACATAGTTCGGCCAGGACCCACCGTTGTGGACCGCGAGGGGTGCCTAACACCTTCCCCTCAAGGTTATTTCGAGCCCTTACCTGAATCACTGGTAATGCAAACTGGTTACATGAGTTAATTGCTCTAGGTGCCCTAACGCACCTTAATCCGTTAGGTGGCGACTCTCCAAACACCTAATTCCCAAAAGGAAATGAGTTGTTCCCCCATGAATGTCGAAACTCGGACTTCCCCGCGAAGGAAAAAAGGGGCGGGACAATAGTTCTTAAAGAATGAGGGAACATTTTTGGGGGTGATTTTGTTTGTAAAATTGAAGTTGGGATTGAAGAACTTGCGCTTAAAGTTGATTATGTAATGTGTTAATGTGCTTAGGAGGGTGAACCACTATTCCTAAATATATCCTACCCATCCCTTAGCCCATATTATAACCATAAAAAGTCCTAATTAATTTTAGATCGAGCGAGCCTACATTAGTAGAGATATACATTAAGGGCAAGCCAATAGTATCAATTACATGCATGCTACTTCTTTTGTGAGAGTGAGCGATTTTCTTTGAAATATGTGAGCATGAGATTCGAAAGTGTGGATTGATTTTACTCTCTTTGCTTTTGTTGTGAGGACACATGATTTCACGATGAATAGGTAACATTATTAGACTTCTCTAGGATGTTGGGTGTTCAAGCCATGAGTGCATTGTGACATTGAGTCGGTTTGTGAGGCTAGGATTGTTATGAGCATGTTGTCTTTATTTGAATATTTTTGAAGTACGGCGTAAGTTAAAAGGAAGTGTGTGGTGATTGCATATGCTAGAGTTTAATTGTTGATATCAACCATGGTCATTGGTATAGAGTGCTCAAAGATAGAGTTACTTGTTGGTTGACTCGAGGACGAACAACGTTTAAGTGTGGGGTATTGATGTTTGGCTTAAAGTATGCATATTTTTACATATATTGCCTCACATTGTGCTCATGTCTCGTAGATTTCGAATGTATAATATAATGATTTGTGCTAATTTGTGATATATCTATGTGTAGGAATCATTCAGATGTGATTTGGGATGAAAATGCGCGAATTGGAGCGAAAATGGGAAGAAAATGCAAAAGTGCAAATTTGAGGGCAACAGGCAGCGTAGGGCGCTACCTGTGGCGCTCAAAACAGAATACTAAAAAGTTGAGCGCCAGGGCCAGTGCCCCACACTGCCCTGGACGCTCAAAACGTGAACATGTCCTATTTCGGCCGGAACTCAATCATTTCGACCTCAAGACGCTCTCAACTCATATAAAAGCCAACCTAAACCTATTTTGGAGGGGGATAACGTTTTTGAGAGGAACTTTTGGCTAAGGAAGAGCACAGAGTCGCCGTGGAGACCGGGTTTCATCTTTTCTTCTACCAAACTTAGTAATTTTTATATTTCTTTGTATGATTTGTTGTTTGACTACCATGTTTATGTGGAGCTAAACTTCACGTTCTAGGATTGTGGTTCATTCATGACTATTGTTATTCGGATATTGATTTTGATTTCTTAGTTTATCATATTGGTTTATTTATTCAATCCTGCGCTTAATTATTTGATTGCTTGATCACCAATTAAATACTATCTACAAATCTAGAGTTGAACTCGAAAGTGGGAATTCTAGATTGCATATAGAATTGAGTAGAGAAAGTTTTTGAACCTAGGCATCAGGGAACAGATTCGCGGTTAGGATAGACATATACGTAACTGCCTTGCTTGTTAGTTCTAATTCCATAGACATGTAGGCGCTAGGTTAGCTTGAATAGGCGAGTAAGAACTCGACAGATTCTTATGAGCAATATTAACCCTGTTAACCAATAAATTAGATAAATTAGTTAGTCAATTCAGTTGAAGAATACAATAGGAATGTTAGATAGCTAATAACCCTAGATCGTTTTCATTACATTGATAATATAAAAATCTGCTCTTCCTCTGTTTAAAGTTCATTAGTTATTTTATTTTTAGTTTAATTACTTTAGCATCATTACTTTTGAATTTAATCCTTGTTTAGATAATTAGGATAGTCTAATTTAGTTAATAGTTAATCACAAGTCCTTGTGGGTTCGACATCCGACTTTTAGTCACTTTATTACTTGACGACCGTGTATACTTGTGTGTGCGTTTGGCCGCAACATCTACCCCTAATGTAATGGTTTCAATAGATCTTTAAAAATAGATTAAATGGGTCAAATTGAATCGTACATAACATATTATTAGGTTAAACAAACAAGCTAGAGAAACTTACTGTAATACATGAAAAAAAAGACTTTATACTTCCCAAATTGGGAACTCAGCTAAAGCCAATTTCTATGGTGTGACGAGCCATGTGTACAAGGCTCAGGTATATATTCACTTCGGCTTGCTAATTCAGCATTTACTAGTGATTCGCACTTCTTGTTCACGAGTCTTGAATAACAAGCTAAAAGATATTAAATGTCTTTCCTCTCGTATGTTTAGGTTTCTCTTGTTGGATACTTAATCTTCTAATGGACTACTATATACAGACCTTATTATGGCTTACTCAACTTTCTTTGGCTCTTGTACTAACAATATGGCGGAAACAAGGGCTATTTTAGTAGGTTTAATTTGGTGTATTGACAATGGATATAAAGAGGTCGAAATTGAATCTGACTCTCTAATCCTAATCAATGCAATAAACAATCAGGCTGGAATACCTAGGCTGGAATACCGTGGCAGATTGCCCGTTTAATTGAACATATCAGAGAGATGAGGCAGGAAGGCCACATTAAGTTCTCACACTCCTACAAGAAAGCCAATTGCACTACCAACTTGCTAGCTAATTGGAGCTTACATAGGAAATCCTCTACTTTCTTCATGGAAGCTAACGCTTTACCTATGAAGGTGAGAGTTGCTTTGAAGAATGACAGAAACCAGCTGGTCAACTTCCGAATTAGGACTACCAAAAAGTCATTCAATGCTTAGCCTTCCCAATTTTGGCTTGTCCTATTGAGAAGGAGTTTTTTTGGCCTTCACGGGCTTTTAAGTTGGAGCTTTAGCTATGTATTTCTCTGTTTTGTGCTCCTCAGCTTTTAACTAAGGGGCTAATTAGCTTAATTTTATCAACCCTTCTTGTATCGAATCTTCCCTTTTTATCGTTTTAATATACAGGTTGAGGCCATGCCTAACCTCTCACCATAATGGTGATATTAAGTGGAAAAAATCTTCTAATAGACTCCATTATTGAGTCCCAACTTAATTAATATCTTTTTACTCGTGTGATTGTAATTCTCTTATCTTTGCTTAATTTATTTTATATGGCTATAGAACAGCGGGATGGATCTATTCTTGTCATCTCTCATGTTTCCCTGATTCATCATATTTAAACAATAAAATAAATTTTTTTTTGTCAAAGTCTATGCAGCATGTTATCACGTTCTAACTTCTACGAGCGATTCTTATATTTTCATAAAAATATCAAAAATTATATGGATACCGAAAATAAAACCGAGATGATAGGTACAATTTCAAAATTCTAATCTTAATTATATAAAATAAAGTAAATAAAAATTTATATGATGCAAATTTTAAAATAAATAAACAAAAATTGAGCCATTGACATTCCTATTAAGAAGTGCTCTCCTAAAAACGCATTATATCAAATATCTAATGAAATGGATAAATAAAATAAATATTGATAATTTATGGAGTACATAATACTAATGTTTAAATTTTCATTCTGTATAGCAATCCAGATAGATGCTAAGAGCAAGCTCATAGCTCGGTAACAATGGCACATCCACTTTCCTTCTCACAGTCCCCACTCCCGCTTCCCTCTTCCTCTCCTAAATTTCTTCACCTCAACACAACCGCCTCAATTAAGCCCACGCCCATTTTTTCCCATCTCAAAAAACACAGTCTTTTCACTTCCACACCCAAAAAACCCAACTCCTTCACTATCCCATTAAAAGCCACTCAAGATTCAAACTCCAACAACTCCTCATCAGAAACCCAGCAAAACCCACCACCGGATAGTACCAAAGTCGCCACCGATCAAGACGCCGGCGGCGATGAGTTGTCGCCGTCGGATGTGGGGTCGGAGATAAAGAAGCTGATGAAGGAGAGAGAAGAGAAGGGGACAGATTTGTGGAGTGGAGTGGCGGAGGAGATAAGGGAAATTGAATGGCCAGCTTTTGGTAAGGTGTTGAGTACTACTGGGGTTGTGATTGGAGTCATTGCTGGGTCCAGTGTCGTTTTGCTTACTGTTAATGCCGTTTTGGCCGAACTTTCTGATAGAGTTTTTGCTGGAAAAGGTGTTCAAGATTTCTTTGGTTGATTTTTTATTAAGATAAGGCTTCTTTGAAAGATCTTCTTCTTTTTGTGTTTTAGTTCCTTTTTTCCTTGGAATAATTTTGAACAATTCTTTTCCCTTTTATTGTTGCAAAATTCCAGTATATGATGGCTCAAAGTCAAGTTTAAAAGTTTATGAAGAAAGAAAATGTCTTAAGTCTATGGCGCGCCTAAATATACTAGTGCGTAGTAATTTAGTTAATGAGTCTCTGATATTTTCTTCAAGTTATTTAGTCAGCACCAGAAGTTTAAACTAATACTAACGAATATGTGAACGATGTGAAGATGTCACTTACCTAGAAAAGAAATTTAGTTGTCAATGTAAACATGGGCAGAGCTAGAGTGCCCCGAGAGGGTTCGGCCGAACCTAGTAGCTTTGGTTCGAGCACTGTATGTATCTTAGGAAATTCATTGAATATATATAAGTTATTAATTTAGAATCCAGTAGCTTAAAATCATTAAAATCCCGAACCCATAAACTTAAAATCCGCCTCTGAATGTAAATAAAGTAAATATATGCACTATAGGCATGTACAGCACTTGATTAGCGTAGGATGAGAAGATGTCTATTCAAGAAAATAAAAAGTTTCGAGGAACTTTGATGAACAAGCAGCAACAGCTCTTGAAATTCCTGTTATAAATCCAGTAAAATTACAAAAGCACTAAGATATACTTGAATGGCCACTAAAGAAAAGAAAAGGCCTTATTTTTAGCAGTTTCAGCAAACAACAAGGGAAAAGGTTCGGAAAGAACATTCTGCTTTGATTGGAAAATCCTCTTGAATATGGTATACTAATCGAAGGACAAAATGTTCAAGGCTCCACGGTCATGTTCTCTGCTTCCCGTCTAACAGATTCAAAGAGCACAGAGGAGAGATATCGCTCACCAAAGCTTGGGAAAACAACCTGCAATACCAGTTTCATGTAGCTGTAATTAGAGGCAAAACAAACCTCGTCGCAACTTAGAATGTCATTCCATCATGCATATGACTAAAATTGGTGAAAATATTCTCCTTGCGGTGACAATAAATCAACTGGATGCTTGAATACTTCAAGCAAGGAATGATTACAATGCGCGCAAAACTGTCAAATTAGATATTCTACCAAAACAATAGAACAATAATGGCAGGAAGCACCAGATGGATCAATAAAGTAGCATAAAAAGCTTGCAAAATTAGCAGTGTTTTGCTGGACAAGATGAAAATCTATGCCACAGACAGTCAAAATGAGCATAGAAGCAACAGTTGTCTTAGGAGCTTAAATAAAGAATAATTTAGGAGTAGGCAGACAACAAACAACAACAACATACCCAGTATAATCCTGCATAGACGCATAGTGGGGTCTGGGGAGGGTAGTGTGTACGCAGACCTTACCGTTACTTTTTGTGGAGGTAGAGAGGCTGTTTCCAATAGACCCTCGGTTCAGGCAAGCATAGGTACCACAATAATAACAAGAAACAAGACGGGACAACATCAAAAGAAAAACCATGTAAAACCAGCATACACAACAAGATTTAAAATAAATAAAAATACTACCAACCAAATGTGAGAGTACGTACTAACACTACCAGTATGAATAATATAGACTACCTAACCTACTATCCTAATCTTAGACCTCCACACCTTCCTATCCGAGTCATGTTCTCGGTCAGTTGTAGAGTGAATTCAGCAGTTGCAGTAGGCACAAGAATCTTGAGCATCAAAAGCACAATGATAATCAATTTAGTGCATCTTTCTGGACCAAAGCATTGCCAATGAAGTAACTAACCCTAACCATCATCAAACTACAGTCCTTCCTCAATGACATATCAAGTGTCTATCCCTACACAACCAAAACCCCCAGATGTATTTTCAAGAGAGAAACACAAGAGACACATGAATAAGAAAAATTCTTTCATTATATTCTGTTCCCTATGGTAACACCGAAGACAAGACTTTTTTTGTTAGATATGCAAAAATCCAAGATATTTAGGGACGACAAATATTAAATGAAGCACTTCCTACCTATATAAGGTGAACAAAAACATTTCATTATGACAATCACTTAGATACTCACAAAGCACTAAATCCCATGAGTCCACTAAGATAATGATGCATGCCTTTTCTTTGTTTTAGATATGACAATATTTCAATGTTTTGCATAATATAGTTCGTAAGCTTCAGCTGAACATGAGTTAACTAGCATTTCATAAAAAGTGATAGATACTTACAACAATGAGCTTCCCAGCATTTTCAGGGCGCTTAGCAAGTTTGATTGCTGCAGCAGCAGAAGCACCAGATGATATGCCCACCTGTAAAATGCATATTTTCAGTATCCAAAACATGTCGGACGTTAGGAGTGCGCAAAACTGCGGCATGACTATTACAATGTTCAATAGCTCTCACACACTTCTCTTTTTCTTTCTTTATTCCGTGGGAGTTTTTTCCCTTTATCCTTTTTTCTTCTCTTCTTTTCTTTTGGGGGGTGGGGGAGGGAGTAGGAGGGTTGGGAGCACAGTTAAAGCAGTCAAACTTACAAGCAAGCCTTCCTTCAAGGCCAAAAGCTTTGCGGTTTCTATGGCTTCTTCACTTGAAACCTGATTTTATCAAAATGAATAAATTCTGTCAAATGCTAGCACCTAAAGCCTACAAAGCTCAAGATCAATAATAGAACCAAAACTGAGATTCATAGTGTTCACATAGTTCAATAATTTTGCAGAAAGGATATTCCGGGAAGTTAATATCTTACTTGAATTACTTCATCAATAAGACCAACTTCCAAAACACCAGGAATGAAACCAGCACCAATCCCCTGAATCTTATGCGGACCTAATGCATCATCGGCAAATCGTATGTCAAATTGAATCAAAGAACCATATAACAATGACTTCTTAAATTGTTTACACAGCAGATATTTCAAGATGGTCACAATGACTTTTTTTTGTTGATAAAAGGTAAAAGCGGACACAATGACTTTTGTTTTTGCTTTTCCCCCCCTCCATTTGGGGCGGTGTTGTAAAACTGGGTAGCCACTCAGAAAGGCTAGTGCAATTTTTTCGCTCTTTGCTGACAATAAAGCATCTTCTCCTTTATATTTCGGTTGACATTAGAAATGGAGTTCAGAAGGAGCAGTTTTTTTATACCAAACTCTTATGACACTCAAAATTGATAATTACTTTATACATTATGGTTAAAAGAATGGATACCGAGGATCCATACAGCCGATCCGGATTTAGATTTGGATTGAGGAGAAGCTGTTGTATATAAATATATAAATACTAGTAAAGAGATGAGACTACTATGTCAGTTGCCCTTTTTGGCATAAAGATATTGTAAAAGCAAAAAAAGAAAAAACATTCGAGGTAGTTTGGCACTTAACTTAAGATACAAATTTTATTAGGAATCTGAAGTGTATTATATATTGCTCATGCTCTTATTTTTGGTTAGGAATATACAACTAAAAAGGGAGGAAAATGTTTAATAACGGATTCAAATTTTTGTAGATAGCTATTTACTATTGATGTCCCTTTGGAGACATTTACAACAACAACAACAACATACCCAGTAATATCCCACACTGTGGGGTCTGGGGAAGGTAGTGTGTACGCAGACCTTACCCTACCTTGTGAGGATAGAGACCTTTGGAGACATTTGATAGAAAAATTTATGTACTATTGATGCATGCTAAAATATTACTAGAACAACATGGAGTCTTTGACATATATATTGAAAAATTAATTGTTCAAAAACAAGCCAAGCAATTTCTTTCTACCTTTCTGCTTTTTCAAACTCACTGTGGTATTATTTAGATAATCCCCACTTTTGGTATGTTGTTGCCTGGAGAGCTTCAGTGCAACTAAAGTTCAATAGTTTATTAAAGGGTACAAGTAATGTCCTGAAATATTCAACATATAGCTCCTTTATTTTGGTTTTGCAGTGGGCATAAGAAGGGATAAACAAGCTTCGAGGAGAAGGCTATGGTTTAACCAGTACATGAACCTGGGACAAGACTTTATGATTTACTTACATCATATGTAAGGCTGTCTCAGGCTCTCAGCTTACCAGAAGAGTTTTAACAAATAAAATCGGGTTCCTTTCCAATATATCATGCAAGCGAAGTGACCACTAAGACGCCAAGACATGATAATCAGCAACCAAGGCCAACTAAATCCTAAACCTTTAACAAGTAATGTCTTTAGAGGGGGAGGGGAGAACCAGATCAATCAATACGTCATGGAATTCCTATAATTTACGAAGATGGATCATGGGAATTTCAGACTCCAGACACTGCCTGCTCATCTGAATTACTTTTACATCCCACCTACTCATTTACTTTGAGATTTCCATATTAAAAGTTAAAATTTTAGCTATACCAGGCTCTAGGTGTTGTGCGTATTGTAGCCTTAGATACACAAGTAGATACTGCTACACGACTAGATGACCTTAGGTTCTACATGAAGACCACTTATATTGGACCTGTTAGAAAGCACATACAGTGCTGGCCATTCAGTGCAACCAGTTACACCATTGACACTTTCGGTCGCTTTGTAGACACTTTATAGAATGTTACTTAGATATGGATCAAGGTGTCGAAACCAGAAATAATGTTAAATACAATTAAGATAGTGTGAGAACCCAATAACTGCAGGTCTCACATTTATAAGGTTCTCACTCCCACAAACTTGAGTTCTGCTGCGATATGCACAAAGTGGAAAAATGAAATGAAAAAAAAAACATAATGGTTGAGAAAGAAGAAAAGCTCACCAGGCTTTCCTCCAGAAAGAATAGCACTTTCAACTGGTTCCACACCATAGAGCTATCATCCAATTGCAAAAGGAAAAAAGGAATCATTTTTACAAGTCATGATAATACCAAACAGAAATTCAGCATATAGAAAGAATTCAATTACTAATCAAAACCAAATCAAATATTTTGCGTTACAGGTCATTAGCCTAATTCTTAAACAAGCTCACCTTTATGTCGGGGTTCTGCTCTCTTAAATACTTGCCTGAACCTGTTATTGTTCCTCCTGTTCCAATTCCAGAGACTAGAGCATCTACTTTCCCGTTTGAGCCTTTCCAGATCTCAGGACCAGTGGTCTCATAGTGTACCTATATTATGGTAATATTTGAGTTAGCCATTTCCCCATCAGAGAAAGTAAACTTTG